TTTTTCATCTCCTGCTATGGAAAGTCATATGCATCGAATTCCTGGTTTGTCAGAAAACATTTATCTTTATGTGTGATGACTATTTCTTGGACAACCCATCACTTTACGTGAATTTTTTACAGAAGAGGAGGGACTTTTGGTAAATACCTTTACTACAAAACTATTCTCGTCAAACATTTGAAATAAGATAGGAAATATGAAGTCCTTTTTATGAGGTTGTCTTTTAATTTCCTTCTTGTCGGTTTTTTTATTCCTTTATGTATTATTAAAGTAATCACCCGTCCGTGCTTTGCCTTGTGCACTGTCTATTTTTGTTTGGTCTACTGGGCTCCTTGCCGTGTAGGATAGCGTTCATTGAACGTCGCCCTTCCTTGATGATCTTTTTTTTATTTATATTTTATATTTTATTTTATAAATTATGATATTCATTATTGACTTGCAGCCACGGCTGCAAGCCATCTGTTTTGGAAATGTTGTTCCGGTAAGGTGTTTAATAATTGGAGTGTTACAGACTTTTTAATTACATGTTAAGGAAGGATAACCGGACAGGAACGAGCGACCATGTTGTAGCAATAAGTTTTATTCTGTAAAATTATTTCCTTTTATAGATCAATTGGGGTAATCGTGTAAATCTATGCCATCCTTGGTGCCCTCATACTTCCCTTGGTAACGGTATATGTGACAGGGCGTGTGACAATACAAAATGTATGTGGGATCATGGTGATTGCGGGGTTATAACACCGGCACGGATGAAACGAAAATACCCCAACGGTCTGTTTTCTGGATCGTTGTATCATACAATGGGGATGTTTAACCGGTGTAGTCAGCAATCAACAGACACAGTGTACTACCATGAACCTCGACATAGTCCCTTGTTGGTGAATAGACATATAGCTTTAGATCTGGAAAATGCGTACGTAGCCAGATGTTTTCCTGTTTGTTTTAGTAACATATTTCACATTGTGAATACATTTTTGTTTATTACTTAGACTGCAAGAATGTGATTTTTATCCTATCCTTCATTCTTAATCTTCGTTTGTTGAATTTGTTGTTGTTTGTTGTTGTTGGCTTTAGTCATATTGACACTGTAAAGGTCATAGACATGTACATGTAGCAACTTTCCATCTATATTTTTGTAGGAAGATCCAAGGTTACACTTTCTGCATTGTTTACTTTGTTCACATTTTTATATTTAAGGTTTCACGAAGATTTTAAAAAGTCATCAGCGTTCCACTTCCGGTCACAGTTTAATGTGCAATATTCCATGGCATATCTACTCTATGTGTCGTCTGCTCGTGAAGTCATGACAACAGACTCAATGTTTGATGAAATGGACACTGATAAATCTGGGTAAGTATAAATGAAAAATAATACACAAAATATTTGACTCTACTGCTGTTAAATTTATATCTTGTTTCGAGGTTAGATAGCTATTTGTATGACTCTTACAAATAAAGGCTCTATGTTTATTACAGTTACCTTTATACAGAAAGGTAGACGTGGCTGTAGTTACCTCCCTTAGTGTTTCATTGTTTTTATAAAGATTAAAAATCACTCATGAATATAGATATATATTGTATTTTAGAACAGTGTCGGTTGAAGAAGAGATGGAATTTTTGAATGATAAAGGTATTTCAAAGGTATATCCATCAATCTACTTGTAATGAGTCATTATCAAACATGAAACACAAGTCAGTAGCAAAATGCAGTAAAAAGATACTCACCAATAAATAATGTTATTGACTTTAAAGTATTAACAGTGTTATCAATAATTTTCAAAAAAGGCAAAAGTGCGGATATTATCTGGCCATGGATTCCTTCATTTGAGGAATTTTTCCAGCTAATATACGGGAAATAATTCATGCAAGGGCACCTGGGGTGTTCCTCCGCCAGTAAAGCTGCAAAATCGCCAAATGACCTATACTGTGTTTTGCGACGTAAAACCCAACTCCTAAAAATTGTATAATAAACTTAAAACATGTCCGTGAAGTACGCGGGCTAACGCGCTAGCAGCCTAGCGGGTTAACAGTATGAACTGAGCGGGCTAGCAGTCTAGCGGGCTAACAGTGTGAACTGGGCGGGCAAGCAGTCTAGCGGGCTAACAGTGTGAACTGGGCGGGCTAGCAGTATAGCGGACTAACAGTGTGAAATGGGCGGGCTGGCGGGCCAGCGGGCTAAAATCTAAAACTTTATTTATTGAACATAAAAATGTTATGATACATTACCTGGCAGTGTGAAGTGGGCGGGCTAACAGTGTAGCGGGCTAGCAGTGTGAACTGGGCGGGCTGGCGGGCCAGCGGGCTAAAATCTAAAACTTTATTGATTGAACATAAAAATGTTATGATACATTACCTGGCAGTGTGAAGTGGGCGAGCTGACAGTGTACTGGGCTAGCAGTGTAAACTCGGCGGGCTTGCGGGCAAGCAGGCTTAACTCTAAAACTTAACTGATTGAACATGAAAACGTTATTATACATTATCTGGCAGTGTGAAGTGGGCAAGCTTACAGTGTAGCGGGATATCAGTGTGAACTTGGCGGGATGGCGGGCCAGCGGGCTAAAATCTAAAACTTTATTGATTCAACATTAAAACCTCATGATACATTTCCTAGCAGTGTGAATTGGACGGGCTGACAGTGTAGCGGGCTAGCAGTGTGAACTGGGCGGGCTGGCGGGCCAGCGGGCTAAAATCTAAAACTTTATTGATTGAACATAAAAACCTTATGATACATTACCTGGCAGTGTGAAGTGGGCGGGCTAACAGTGTAGCGGGCTAGCAGTGTGAACTGGGCGGGCTTGGCGGGCCAGCGGGCTAAAATCTAAAACTTTATTGATTGAACATAAAAATGTTATGATACATTACCTGGCAGTGTGAAGTGGACGGGCTAACAGTGTAGCGGGCTAGCAGTGTGAACCGGGCGGGCTGGCGGGCCAGCGGGCTAAAATCTAAAACTTTATTGATTCAACATTAAAACCTCATGATACATTTCCTAGCAGTGTGAATTGGACGGGCTGACAGTGTAGCGGGTTAGCAGTGTGAACTGGGCGGGCTGGCGGGCCAGCGGGCTGAAATTTAAAACTTTATTGATTCAACATTAAAACCTCATGATACATTTCCTAGCAGTGTGAATTGGACGGGCTGACAGTGTAGCGGGCTAGCAGTGTGAACTGGGCGGGCTGGCGGGCCAACGGGCTAAAATCTGAAACTTTATTGATTCAACATTAAAACCTCATGATACATTACCTGGCAGTGTGAAGTGGGCGGGCTAACAGTGTGGCGGGCTAGCAGTGTGAACTGGGCGGGCTGGCGGGCCAGCGGGCTAAACTTTAAAACTTAATTGAATCAACATAAAAACCTTACTATACATTTCCTAGCTGTATAAGCTCGGTGAGCTAACAGTGTAATGTGCTAGCAGTCTAGTGGTCTAAATTCCATACTTAATTATTTTAACACTAAAGCGTTATGATGCATTTGTTAGCAGTGTGAACTCGGCGGGCTAACAATGATTGTTTCATATAGTATACACGATCCTTGAGAGTACACTAAATGGTTTTAAATCCGTATTGATATTTAAGTGATGCATGGTATACAGAAAAAACGATCTTAACTGAAACAGAAAAAAAACACTGCAACATAAGATTTTAGTAGTAGGGCAGTCAAATGTAGAACCAAATGTAGTGAAGCAGAAGATGCACCAGAGGTACATACATAGGTGTATACTTCGTGCAATGACAGAAGCTTGTCCATAAACATAAGGACATCTAGGAATCTGGCGATTTATTTAGGAGCGGATCTGTGGTCTGGTGGTTAAATACATACATTTGTATGTATAATCAAGGGGTTTGAGTTCGACCCCCCGCTCCTCCCTAACATTACCAACAGTCTTTCGGATGGGACTTTAAAGCGAGGTCCCGTGTATCGGTGCATTACACCTGACACATAAAAGATCCAGGTATGCTTCTGAAATGGGCCATCTTCTGTACTTCCTGCACTATATTACGAATGTCAAATTGTGAAAAACCACAAAGCGACGGCATACTTATACCGACAGATGTACCATCAGAGTTTCCTCACTATGTCTTATTGCAGCTCTGAGTTCGAGGCTACCATAGTGATTACATGTATTTTCATGTAAGGACGTTAACCAACTAGCTTGCGGAATGTGGGTGGTTATACCAAGAACTGGTGTCCGCCTGAGCCTGAAAGTTGTCCGAAATGGCACCTGGGGTCTGAATCGTACAAAATGGAGGAGAGGTTAACAATCCGTCCAGATGATCAAAAATGATGTTTGCATTTTTGGAATGAGTTGCATTTCGTAAAAAAATCCCACAATTTTAGGATCTTATCCTCAACCATTAGGCCTACTGATTTACGGCAGATTATATCCTAGTGATATAGATTCAGAAATTGCGGAAAATGCCGCAAAACTGGGAATCAATGACAGCAGTATGTTGATTGAGATATTTCATTGTCGGTATATTTGTCACATTTTTATTTCATAATTATGTTCGGATAAACCAACAACTATCATTTCACTACTGTCCATGAACAAAACTAAAACAAAATTTTGATATGTGGTGTTGCCATGACAACGAGAAGTTATCTAGAGTTCTCTCTATTTCTTTGTCCGTTCAAAGCAGAAAATTGGATTATGTTATTACTTTTAAACAGATTGAATATATATCACCAGTCTATGACTATTCGGTTTATATAGTACATTTGTTAATTTACAATATCAGGAGGTGAGCTGTGGTGGGTAGGGAAACCAAAGGGTGTATCCACACTCGACGTGTTTTGCCAGTGACCGTTAGGCACCGGAGACCGTGGGCGATACTAAACTGCTGACGAATTAGCTGACGATATAGAATGTATAGGAAACTGCTGACAAGGATTATCGAAAACTGCTGACCAGTTAGATAAAGAAGGGAAAACAATGAAGGTGTCAAATTGCCGTTGGTGATATTATAGGCGAGGTCGAGAAATACTTGATAAGATGTTTTTCAAGATGACAATATTACAAATGATAAATATTTATTATAAAAATTTCAATTGATATATTTCTCAATTTCTGTTGATATAATATTTTATTTTAGTACCTTAATGAATTTTCTTCTATGTGTTATATATTGGTTAAAATTTTAAAAATGTAGTCAAAATATGATGTATGAAAAATCATAATTTTTTTCAAGTATGTATAAAGCTATGCATCATAGGTTAAAATATATACATGTACATATATGTAATGTACATTTTAACAACATATAATTATTATGTCGTATCACGGATTTATATATATATATAAATCCGTGGTCGTATTTAGTACAAATATGAAATAAAGTGATTTCTGTCTGTCTTATTTGTTGTTCGTATAATTGTATAAGTAATATTGAACAAAAATTAATAATGACCTAATTGTTATAGTTAATTAGCTTTTATTACATTATAAACACAATGTTTCTACAGATATCCATTAAACTGATAATTCATTTTTATATTTTTGAAAATTATCTAACGTTTTATCATGTATTGATTTTCATGTTTGTTCATTCGTTTGAACTAATGTATTATACATAAACTTTGTTGGCTTGTGTATGTATTCAGAAATATTTTTATGTTGCATGTTGTCAGTAAGAATGCATAAGCTCGTGAAAAATTTCGAAATTTTCGAAAGGTTTATTAACCTTTATATATATATACTGTTCCTTGACATTTCTTAATATTTTTTGAAAAATAACTTTTGCATAATATTTGAGATTGTTATAAGTATAGGTTATTGTTTATTTTTTTAATTTTATGGAACTTATTGCAAGCCACGCGAAGCGCAGCATAAGTTCTATCAAATTGAAAATATAATACGATAACAAACTCGCATTTTCTTGTATTTTCTTGTCAACGCCCGTATTGAAAAAATGAAAATCAGAATTTTGATCACAGAGAAGCAACTGTTGCCATCGGCGCAGAAACTTTTTATTAATAAAAAGACGACAAAAACTCTTATGGTTGATATTTTATTTTTAACCCTTAATGACGTTTTCGGGAGTTTTCATATAGGCATATAGGCAAAATTAAAACTGTTCAATAGAATTTCTTTAAACTTGGCATGTTGTTAAAATATGATAACAGAAACATTTTAAGCAAAAAAGAATTTGGGGTCACCGTTCTCGTTTTTGAGTTATATCAATAGGCGCCAACAAGAGCCGGTTGATCAGGTTCCACAATGTTCGGTGCTTGGACACTAGAATCATACTCAGTGGTTGGGCAGTAAACAGTGTAGATTCTTGGCAGACGGCGCGAATGCGCACCGACTGATGTGGATCTACGATGTTCGCAAAGGCTGAGTATACTCGGTCAAAGCACTTAAATTAAGTGTTAATGTCTGTAGTTTGTTTCAGCCTGCCGGGATTAGGAGTTTTAAAAATGTCTAGATTTTGCTATTAAAACAAAAGATGCCAGTTCCATAACCATCCCTGGTTGGTTGAGACCATGGTTTAAATTTAATACGGAATATTTGACAGGAGTGACCCCAGAACAATCTCTGCCCCTGCACTGAGAGTCCGGTATATTAACCAGTTCGCCACAAGTTGGCTCGAGTACAAAGGTTTTTGTTTTAATCCTTTTGTAAGTCCATAACTGTGCCTGTTTCTTTGCCATGATGAAAAAACGCAAACTTCAGTTAATGAATCATGAACACGCCAGCCCTCCCACTTCACACTTCTTAGAAATGTATCATGAGGTTTTCATATTGTCACACTTCTAAGAAATATATATCATGAGGTTTTCATGTTGATACAATTAAGTATTAAAGTTTAGCCCGCTGGCCCGCCAGCCCGCCCAGTTCACACTGCTAGTCCGCTACACTGTTAGCCCGCCCACTTCAAACTGCCAGGTAATGTATCATAACGTTTGTATGTTCAATCAATAAAGTTTTAGATTTTAGCCCGTTGGCCCGCCAGCCCGCCCAGTTCACACTGCTAGCCCTTTACACTGTTAGCCCGCCCACTTCACACTGCCAGGTAATGTATCATGAGGTTTTAATGTTGAATAAATAAAGTTTTAGATTTTAGCCCGCTGGCCCGCCAGCCCGCCCAGTTCACACTGTTAGCCCGCTACACTGTCAGCCCGTCCAATTCACACTGCTAGGAAATGTATCATGAGGTTTTAATGTTGAATCAATAAAGTTTTAGATTTTAGCCCGCTGGCCCGCCAGCCCGCGCAGTTCACACTGCTAGCCCGCTACACTGTTAGCCCGTCAAGTTCACACTGCTAGCCCGCTACACTGTCAGCCCGTCCAATTCACACTGCTAGGAAATGTATCATGAGGTTTTAATGTTGAATCAATAAAGTTTTAGATTTTAGCCCGCTGGCCCGCCAGCCCGCCCAGTTCACACTGCTAGCCCGCTGCACTGTTAGCCCGCCCACTTCACACTGCCAGGTAATGTATCATAACGTTTTTATGTTCAATCAATAAAGTTTTAGATTTTAGCCCGCTGGCCCGCCAGCCCGCCCAGTTCACACTGCTAGCCCGCTACACTGCTAGCCCTCCCACTTCACACTGCCAGATAATGTATCATAACGTTTTCATGTTGAATCAATAAAGTTTTAGATTTAGCCCGCTGGCCCGCCAGCCCGCCCAGTTCACACTGTTAGCCCGCTATACTGCTAGCCCGCCCAGTTCACACTGTTAGCCCGCTAGACTGCTAGCCCGCCCAGTTCACACTGTTAGCCCGCTAGACTGCTAGCCCGCCCAGTTCACACTGTTAGCCCGCTAGACTGCTAGCCCGCTCAGTTCATACTGTTAGCCCGCTAGACTGCTAGCCCGTTAGCCCGCGTACTTCACGGACATACTTAAAACCACATTGTTTGTATTGAACTTATACAGTATTGATATATTTATTTTATTACTTCACCATAAGTCAAATTGCGTAATGAATCTTTATTTCATATTCATGATTGAAACAAACAATAACAATTGAAAATGTAAAGTACAAAAATGTAAAATAAATATGTTTCCAGCAAAAGTGGATTCAACTTGAGCTGAATGTACTTGTGGATTTTATGTCAAAAGAAATTTGTAACAGACATTATTTGCAGACATTTTAGTTGTATAATGTACATTGAAATTGCCATGTATTGTTATTTCATTTCAAAGAAGATATTGCTACATGTGTGTTTCTATTATTACACAGGCATCAATGACGTTTCTAATAGATAGTACCTTACAATGTAGTTATTCCAATACAGGGAAACCAGGAGAAAAACAACAGGTAAATAAAATATATTTGCATTCATTAGTAACATGCATGCGCAAGAAAGTTAAGCAAATAGTTACTTAAAAGTAAGTAATAGGAAAAATTAGAAATGAAAACAATAAATTTTGAATTACATTACTAAATTATATGCATGTATATAATCATTATACATATATATGGTATCTGCAGAACAGTAGTATAAAAGTATTATATTATTTAAGATTTGATAATTTTATAATATTTAATTGTCAATCTAAACTTTTAAAAACTTTATATTCTTATAATGTTTTGTTTATGAAGTCTTTTTTAGCTTGTTTCTTGATGTGTATTTTGTATTTAATGTAACAACTTTGAGCATATGAAAATGGCGCTTTTAAAGTTTGGTTTTATAATAATAATAATAATAATAATAATAATAATAAAAATAAAAATAAAAATAATAATAATAATAATAATAATAATAATAATAATGATGATGAGGATGATGATGATGATGATGATGATGATGATGATGATGATTATATAAAGTATATACGTTACTGTAACGTAACTGAAAGTAATTCATTAGTATTGGCAGAAATAAATGCTTTGTAATGAACATGGTATACACTTTATATCCGGAAAAATATTTTTTCTCCGATTGATTTTATCACAGACCAATTAAAAGCCCATATACCCAAGAAATGCTTTCATTTTTATTTCTTAAAACCTTGTTATTTTTTGGTGTACTTTTATTGTTTCTAAAGAATACTCATTGGCCAATTATCTTTACCGTGTTTTTCCCCTTTTTACTTTTTGGCTATAAGTATAGTCTTAAAGGGTTAGTATTTTTTAATAGAAGCCAAATTAATACTTTGTTGACATTGTTTACATTTTGCTTCTTTATGAAAAATTATTTCACATTTTACACTACTTTTTTTACAGGCAACAATCATCTAGCATGCTCAAAAATATTATTTAAATGTTTTAATATAATTTTCTTTCAGATTCTTAAGAAATGATTTTTTTTTCGTGTCAGCGACATAATGTGCCTTTAAGAAACATAAGAGTATTATTGATAATTATCATAATTGTTTTACAGATAAGCAAATCTAGGTTTACACAATGTCCTGGAGTAAAAGATTTTATAAGCTGGACTGGAATATGGAAACCAAAATACAAGTATATGACTGTTCAATTTTTCAGTATAAAAACGATATATTATGAATTCATTTACAAAAATCTACACTACTACAATAATTAAACGAACATGACAAGAATCTGATCACTAGACGATCATTCAAAATAGAAAAGAAAAAAATGCAACTAAAATTAATGAGTGAAAATGTATTTTATGATAAATTACCACAGGAGTAATTTAAACAACAATTTTCATAAATATCAAAACTGAGATTAGCGATGAAATATATGTAACTTGCAAACAAGACTTACCATATAAAATATATGCGAACCATTTTCATTCTAAACGTTTATCAATCTTATACATATTTAATATTTAAGGTCTCAGACCATCCGAAATTGTAAAGAAAATATTACATAATTAACATTTATCATTGATTGTTTGTTTTGATTGAGTGTCACACAGTTAATGTCGTATGACGAGGTCAAGCTTTTCTGATGAAGGAAAACCTCAGGTGCCTGCCCTTCCGTGTATTATTACAGACACGAACGGGCTCCTGAGTAGAACCACCGACGCAACGTAAGCTAGGTTGATAGTTCCTCACATGAAAGAATCCAAAGTCCCTGTCGGGATTAGCACCCACAGCGTTGAGGAGCAAATGGTTTAACATTGATTAAATATAAAAGTACGACAGTATTGTCATAATAATGCATTATAATAAATCATTACAATAGTAAAAATCATTACAATAGTAAGAATGATGTAATTATACGTTTGTTTTACAGACATACAATTAAATCAGACGAAAATCTTCATTTTATAATGATAACCAACCATATAGGAAAGTCAAGAACAAAACTGTCAAAATTATCCGCAGATCCAAGGTAAACATTATTCTCTATTAAGTGCAGATTTTAAACAAGACATTTCAAAACTCCTCCAAAGCTTAGATTGTCGATTTCTTGATTGACTTACGAACTTTTTATCTACCAATATCGTATCAAGACTCTGAAACTGACATGTCCGTTTGCTATTTTTGAAACTGTTCTTAAAGATTTGGAGAAAATCAAGTTTAGCCAAGATCTAGTTTTGTTATATTGCATGGGCTTGAGTATTAAACTGTTTTTATTCTAGTATTTTAATAGTTAAGAGTTTGAAATTTTCTTTCTTCGTATTTCATTTCTTGGAAACCGATATGTCGGCGTGTAAAACTTTAAAGTCTTCTTTGGGTCCACATAAGACAACGTAGTATTTTGCATGTTCATTGCCTGAAATTATAGATAGAAACTGGCAAACCACCACTTTTTTTATTTATATCTGTGGGCTGGATATTGTATTAGCTGCGTTCCGTGAAAGTTACTCCCTCTTATAAGTGTTAATGTTTCTGTAAAGATCAGATCGTAATATGTCTTACGTTTATTTCCCGTCATAAAATGATTTATTGTCTAACATTGATCTTGTTATGTACAACTGTATTATATGCAAAGATAAAACTTTTCCGGGTTTATTTTAGGAAATTTAATGCAATAAATGACGACATGGATCATGGAAAACGGGAGTCTGTGGTAGCACAAGAACTGTTACAAAACTTCTATGAGAAGCTATTTCCTAACATATCACAGTATGAATTGAGGGGACCATAATGATAACTACAAAGACAAGAACAAGGGAGAAAACGCTACACCCGCTTTATCAAATCTGTCTCGTGTTCAAAATCTTTACTTTTATCGTTTACAACAGTTTCATATTCATTTGATCGTTTAGTTTGCATATATTTTCATTATTTTAATTTTAAATGTCCTTTTCTCATAGAAAAAGATATACAGTATCAGCAATGTATTATAATCGATATCTGATTACTGATATATATGTTGACATTATTTTTTGTAGAAAATGTATTCAAAAAGATGTATGAAAACTGATATGTAGTTTGAATGTCTTTTTGCCGATCAATACTCGTATATTTAAAAACAAATTATAAAAAAATGATATCTAGTTTAGGTCTTTTTGTCGAAAAATGATATGTGAAAACTGTTATATAGTTTAAATGTCTTTTTGTCGTACAATATATTGAAAAAAAAGATATAGAAACACTGATATATAGTTTGAATGTCTTTTTGTCGTACAATATATTGAAAAAAAAGATGTATAATTTGAATATCTTTTTGTCGGGAGAGATACTATGAAAACTTACATTTAGTTTGAATGTCTACTTTTTCGAAAAAAGATATACATGACAACTGTTATTTAGTTATAAAATCTTCTTGTCAAAAAAGATTATATGAAAACTGATATTTTGTTTGAATGTCGTTTTATTGAAAGAGATAACATGAAATGTGATATTAAGTGTGGATGTCAATTTGTCGAAAGGGATGCTATGAAAACTGATATATAGTTTGAAAGTCTTCTTGTCGGGATAGATATTATGAAAACTAATATTTAGTTTGAATGTCTTCTCTTTCGGAAAAAATATATATGAAAACTATTAATTAGTTTTAAGATCTTGTCGAAAAAGATTAAATGGCAACTGATATTTAGTTTGAATGTCGTTTTATTGATAAAAGGTACAATGATGAAAACTGATATTCAGGTCGAAAGTCTTTTTGTCGAAAAAAGATGCTATGAAAACTGATATTTAGTTTGAATGATTTTTTTAGCCGAAAAGAATAAATGAAAACTGATATTTAGTTTTAAAGTCTACGTGTCAAAAAAGATTCTATGAAAACTGAGATTTAGTTTGAATGTCGTTTTGTCGAAAGGGGGCCAAGAAAACTAATATCTAGTTTGAAATTTCGTTTTGTCAAAAAAGATACTATGCAAACTGATATTAAGTTTGAAATTTGTCTAACAATACTCGTATGTTCAAAAAGATATAATGTAAACAGATATTTAGTTTAAATGTCTTTTTGTCGAGAAAGACAAATGAAAACTGATATTTAGTTTGATTGTATTTTATTAGAGAAATATCATTTATGGGTTATTGAAAATTGTTATTTTATCTGAATGTCATTTTGACAAACAACGTATCTTAATAGATATATGGAATCTGATATTTAGTTTGAATGTCTTTTTGTCCATGAATATGTTTAAAGAAAATATATGGAAGCTAATATTTGAACGTCTTTGTGGAGATGAGAAATAGTAATACAGATATCTACATAAATAGATTTCAAAGTTGTTTGACTTTAAATTTTTTTTTTAACAGAACAGAAATTTTATTAAAGACTTAAGCATACAGCTCATCGTCATAACATACAATAATACACACAAATCATATAAATTATAAATAAACTTTACAACAAATATTTGTCTAAATTCAACAGTTGAGAGTGATCTGAGTAAGCATGTTATTAGAGTACATATATCTTTCATAGGAATATTATGACGTTGTTATAATAAAAACAAAAAAGATTTATAAGTTATTTAATTGGTCACTTCTCTGTCTAAAGCATTTAATACAATAAATTGCAAGATTATGTAGAGTCTTTTTACATTATGAATTTAGCAGTTCAATGAATTTAAACATACTTGGACGTGTATGGTAGAATCTAGGAATATATTTTCTCCTGTTTTCATGATAGAAAGGGCAAACTAAAACAAAGTGGAATTCGTCCTCGATATCATTTGAATTGCAAATTACACAATATCGACGATTTCTTTCAATATTGTTATGTCGTCCAGTTTCAATATGCAGGTTGTGTGAATTTAGTCTTAATATTGTTCAATAAGAATACTATTTTTTTCATTAAAAATTAAAACATAAGTATGTGGTAAGTTCCAGTGTTGTCATTTAAAGTATTTATCTTTATAATATATCAATATTCATTTTTGACTGTTCCTTTCCTCGGAAACATCATTTTGTTATGTTTGAATGTCTTTCTAACAACAAAATTTTCCAAAACCGGTATATATGTAACACATTTTAGCTCGATTATGATAAAGGTGCAAAGCTTTCTTTAAGCAGCTCTCAAGTCCGTTTTCAGGGCCGAAAGTCAGACAGTTGGCCACCGTTCTAACATTTTGCTATTATTTGGTGATATTATGACAAACATGTTTGTATATATGCTATTTTTGTTTTCCTAAGATGATAGCTTTTGTCACTGAAATGAACACTGATCCGTTGATTTGTTCTGTATAAATATACACAATTATTCCGGGGATGCTTTGCTTCATGTTTGAATACTATTTGCCTGTACTTTTTAACTTGCATATCTTTAATTTTCCTATAAGAACATGTATAAATGTTATTACTGCCACTTAAAAAAGTTGCAAATCCAGTTTTAATACATTTCATATGAATTAAATCTTATAATAGATACTTATTGTATTTTTGTTTTCGCTGATATCAAAGTGAAATATCCATTATGTCTTGTCTTGTGCTGATTTATTTGATGTCTTTATGCATAATGTATTTCATGTTGCCTGTTTGTATTTTTTTGCCAAAGTAAAGATTAAATCTTTAAGTTCTGATGTAGCACTCTTCTTCTTTGATTCATTCAATATATATATAACTAGCCTCGTGTAATTTGCATAATTTCATATTGTAATGTAGCCGATATTGAGTTTGAGGTGTCCTCCATTAGAAGCAACTGGTACTTGTGTACAAGTATAGATGATTGGAACTCGCTATATAAAGTTTCATTCATTAGACCATTATAATTTAAGTTGTCTGTTCCATAAACTGCTAGTGGATCGCCATACTCATATGTGACTTCACTGAGTACCGAATGAATGTCGACTCTCGAAACATATCAGAATTGATAGTTTATGTAGCTTTTTGTAAGCAGCTTTTACATCATAGGTGTTTTAGCATCACCAACCATTCTGTCAGATCCAATATTACCATCTGTGTTCCTCGTTAATTTGCCAGCCCTAAGCAGCTCACTGTATATATGTATTCAGACGATATCTTTATCACTTGATCAAATACCATGCGTATTATTTATAATCATTTTGTGTTCACATTTATATCATACCCGTAATTTCGTTAAGGGATCACAAGCATTTTGGCAACCTGTAATGGCAAAAATTGAGGACGTTATCCAACCGTCTGTCCGCTTGTCTGACCATCTGTCCTCCTGTCTATCTAGACAATTGGTCCTACAGGATAACTTTATATCAAGCACGTAGGTATGTTATAACAAACAGGGGTCAAGTTCGATTTTGGCTGAAATCAACTTATTATTGAGAGAGTAATGCTCCATTTTAAGCAAATTTTCTGTACCAAAAATTATAGGTTTACACAAGATAAGTTATGAAGGATTTAAATGATTGTATTTATGTTGAAATGTTATTTTTAAAACACAGGTTAAATGTGATTTTCGTTGCAATTTACATATTATTACAAGAGAAATGCCCCTTTTAAAGCATATTTTGAGCAAAATTATTAATTTCTGCAGGATAACTTTGAAGACTCACATTTTATAGAAGAATAATCATTTGTGCTATTTATAACAATAAATTTCCTTTCTATCTTAAAGGCGTGTTTTTCTTTTAAATTTGCCTTTGGGCGTATGTTTCCCCGTCAAAGCAGTGATCTTGTTTATGGAAAACAATTTTAAATAGTTTTAAAATAGTTCAGCTTTACCGAGCATCTTGCATTCTTTCGACAGAAGGACAAACAACAAACAGAACAATGTGTTCTTTAACGGACACACAAACAAAGTGAACGCATTTAAGCTTCATAATAATTTAATATATTTTGTATATGAATACATAATTATTACTAAATAATTATTTAACTTCAACATGAAATTCCGCTGAAGAATAGAGTTACATGTATATGAATACGTTTAATATCACCACTTTAAAAATAGAATATAATAATGATATTATTGTTATTATTATAATTTGCAAAAAAGAAGATGAGCTAATTCTTGAGCGTGTAGTTATACGACAAAATGACGTCACAATCTACAAAATAGTGCAACCTCATATTTTCTTCTCAAAAGAGGGTGTGCCTTTTTTGTATATGAACATTTCAGCTTCATGTTATTGTAAATATACAAATAAGTAATAGAAAGAGCATCGAAACACGAGACTATCTGATTTGTACTAGGGGCGTAACAGTTATACGACAAAATGACATCACAATCTACAAAATTGTGCAGCGTTATTAATCAGATTGCCGAGTGTTTTGATGTTCTTTCTCTTTTGTATAAAAACACGTTACATTGTGCCACAATTTGACACCCCAGAAAAAGTAACCAATGAACGAGCTTTCCCTTTCTCTGTCGTTATAATAAGTTAACCCTAGAAAAGGATGGGCATGCTCTGGAGTGCGGGTATTTACTCGTAAAAAGTTCACTCCAGTTAACGCACTGTGCATGTATATGTATAAGATTTAACTCTGAAACATTTTCAACAGAAAGGTCTCCAAACTATTATACAAAAATACCATATGCTTATTACTAGTTATACAAGTTGCTGGTGGGATAAAAGGGAGACGATAAATACGACACGGGGTGGTGGCCGAGCGTTATATTTTCGTAAACAAGGATATATTATTGGTACGATTTGCGTTCTTTACGGTATATACGGCATAGTATATAAAAAGCCGAAGCCAATCAAAGTTTCAGAATTAGCATTATTATAAATTGTTTTATGTTATTGTACGGAACATAACTTTTTCTGTCTTATCTATATTTTGATAACGTAGCAGTGATTTTAAAATTCAAATATATCACAATAACGTATTTAGTAAGCCTAAGATATGTATTAGTGAGCGATAATGTTTCAATAAAATGGTATAAAGTTTTTGTTCTTGTAAAGCATGAAATTAAACTACATGTACATGAAAAGGATATCGTACAATTTGCTCACTGTTAAGAATATGCACCAAATAAGATGTAAATCAGTTGACTGTATATGTTGAATTTCAATGCTTCAGCTACGACATGTATTATCTATATGACGAACGCTTGACTTGAGTAGATCATGACTTAAACTATGCTTGTACTATTTTTAGGGTGATTATAACAATTAAGGATTGTTGTCTAAAATCAATTTAACTTTTTAGATAAGGAAGAAAATATCCATAATTTTATGTTGAATTGTAAATTATGATTCATGAAAAGTACATTGACTGCTTTCATTTCTAAACTATAACATAAATTTCTAACAAGCAAAGTGTATTTCTTTACAAATCTAAAAGCACCCATTTTCTTAAATAGTTTTCCGTTGAATTTCACGAATTTGTCTCCCTTAGTTTTTCTCTAACTTTAATGAAGCTATTGTTTGAGATGTTATTTAGGAGATGTTTGGAATTATCCAACCACTGTTTCCCCTCATGATAGTTCACATATTTAAATGACGTCACATTTCCATGTGGCATATCGTCATCATTACTGTTGGAATATTGTTCATGCCAATGCGAGGGTTGTCCTTGCTGAATATCACTCATGTAACTATTGAAGCGTGTAGCACCCTTTTCATGTCTTAATGTAAGACGGACTATTTCCTGAGAATAGGTCTTTTTATCTTCCTGTGGAAGATTTATGTGTATATGTTTTGGTCCCGGAATATCTACACGTGGAAATGTTGGTGCTTTAAATTCACGAACTTGAATTTCAGAATGTGCATTAGCAGAAATATTTTCAGCGTTTTTATCTTTAACGTTTACATCAATACTTTCATGTAAGGCAATCGCCTTGCCTTTCTTTGGATATTTACTACGATCTTCTTTTGAGGAACTATTTTGCACTGAATTACAAGTTGCGGAAGTAGTTGAGCAAGAATCTGAATCTATATCCGCCGTGTCATTTTCTCCATTTGGCATGATTGGAAGTCTTATAGTCTTATTTTGTTCCTCAACAAAACTATCTTGAGTTTCTACTTTAGGTGGAGTAGTCGCTGATCTGTTAGACGCATGTCTGTGTAGAACATGTGCGGTACCAATTTCTCTGTTACTCCTTCTGCGTAAAATTTTCCGAGGTGTATCCGTATGTTTTGAAGTTTCCGTCCTTAACACAGTTGACTCGACGACCGGAACAGAATCAGTGAACGAAGTTGCTAGACGTTCTGCTCGACCATCAGGTGCGACTGCAAGGAACCTATATAACTTAAACTCTTTCATAGGTTTATGTTTGGAATGTTTGCGATCTTTTGATCTTTCTTTAAAAGACTTAACACTTGTTGTGCTCGATATCTTAGAATCTCTTCCAGATTTCAAATTGGATGAAAAATTGGGTGTACTTTTCGTCGACATCACAGAAACACAACCATTAGTTGTTCTTGTATTATCAGGGTCCAGTTTATCTTCCTTGATAACCGTATTTGAACGAGAAATGGTAGGAACGCTGTCGTTTTCATATGTTACTACTTTTGGTGAACCTGGCAAGCAATTAGTTGTTCTTCCCCGCGAAGGATTTCTCCCGTTGGAAGAAGTAAGGTATGCCCTCTTATCATTTATGATCTTTTTCTGTGTATCTTTTGAACTTTTTGTCTGAAGAAATGCAATGACCTGTTTCATATTCAGTTTATCTGGATCATGGTCATTTATCGGAGTTGTGCTCCGTGGTAGTTGATTTATT